ACTAGAAAGGCGTCCTCACGAGAAAGATTGAAAGGAAAACGCTGCAGCCCCTCTTCATGTTGAATATTTTGTTACCAAAACGGCTTTCACTACGAGGGTCACTTAAAAAAAACATGGCTGGTTCCTTCATCATGGAAATCGGTGAAACACGAAAGTAAAATATGTCCTCCCAGAAGTATAGTTTAATGTTTACTGTACATTGATATAAAATCTTGCGCATTGTCTGTGCGTGTCTGACAGCTATAGCACCGCTTAATGTGGATGCATCCACGTTGACTTTTTGTCGTGTATCTCCGATCACGAACGTCCATCATTGATGATTAAACGAACTCTTGTGCCCATTGATGCTTGTGGTAGCTCCAGAAGTTAATGGTGAACGCTGAACCAGACAAAACGATGTTGCAGCCAGACCAGCGTGACTGATTGGACGCCGGATGACTCGCTCGCTAGATATCGTGCCGACCGGTCGTGCCCCCGAGATCTCCGACGACAGTGCAGCTCTGGCCGACTGGTTCACCCTACGCCATCTCTTGACGTCGACAAAAGTTCTCGCTGAGTGGTGCCCCGTCGTCGGACTCCTGCGACCGTGTCTATCTTTCGCTATCTTCTCCTTACTTCCGTATGCCACTGTCCCTGTGCCATGCTCTCTCCTTCCTCCTCTCTCTATCTCTTTACCTTTGATCCTGTTCTTTTAATTTCTTCTTACCCCCCATTCCTCGTGAGCTACTGTTGAGGTGTCGCCCTGTGATGCAGACAGTTACGGGGCTCACTTTTCTCTTCTTTTCTCTTTTAAGAATCAAATAATGAATGCTGAATTCGGGCTAAGGTCACCTACTCGCGTCATGTTGGAGGATCACTGCCCAACGAGAAGGAAACGCAACGCGCGTCGTATCTTTCCTTTGGCGGCCGCTATTGCTCACGGCGTGAGCGTAAGTGTGGAACGCAGAGTTAAAGCCAGGCAAAGCCGGCGGGCGTCGCAGAAGTATGTTTGGTATGGATGAATGCTATGAGCAACACCAACACGTGGTGTGAAGTCGCCTGCTGAGGGTGTGTTAAAGGGATACTAAAGTCAACTATTACATCGATATTGATTGTTTAAATAGCAGTCAATAAATCTTTTGGTGTTACTATTGTACCAAGGAAGTAGTAATTTTCAAATAAAACCACGTTTTAGTGGTGCACATCGGGCTAGTGCACTTCACATTGCCCGCCTCAAGCGGAACGTGTCACGCCACTGTTGCCGTGCACAACGTTGCCAGGTTTTACTGCGTGGCGACCAACACTAGTAGCAGCAGAAGGAAAGCAGCGGGAGACAAAGCAGCAACAACGGTAATTGAATAATTTCCTGCCATTAGCTCCGTGATGGCAGACGTGTTTTGGTTCAACTGGGCTCCGCTAGATGGCATGTTCAATTTAACCAGGCAAAAATTTAACTTTTGAACCACTCGTGGCATTGCGCATAGTAATGTCCGACGGTTATTTTTTCCGTGAATCAAACAGAAACCAACAAGCAGCATTTTATTACGTCTCTTGATGCATGGCAGGTTCTTCATTTAGTCCATCAAGTTTGATTACCAGTGATTAATTGTAGGTGGTACGTCTGACGCAACGAGAATTATTTTGTGGGAACATTCTATCGCAGCGCATATGTTCTCGTGCATTTACCTTAATTTCTCAATAAGTAGGTCATTGTTGTTGATAATATTGTCGTTTTTGACGTTGTCATACATTGAGCTTTCACTCTGACATAAATTGTTTATTTGACATTAGTGACCCTTTAAGGCGTTGACAAATGTCTTTCTCCAATTGAAACGATGTGATCAAAGAACTGATGGTGAATGCCACGATCATTATGCATAACTACATTTTACACAAAACGCTTAGATATGACAGTGGTAGGTATAAACGACGTACTTCTGAAGGGTTTAAGTATGGGACCGTGGCATGACCTAGTTTAGCAGGGTAGCATATTGGAGCGCTGTGACGCTGACTTCCGAAGAGTTGCGATGGCGCAAATCGATCTAGCGAAACCTTCGATCTACTTTGTCAGAGAATTTTGTTTAAATTGTTAAAACATGTTGGCGTCGGCTCTGTGATACCGCAGGGTGTCCAGATGGCTTACGACAATTGTTGAACTTAGCTGATTATGAACCGCAAGCTACCTGGAAGAATTCAAGTACGTTCATCTGTAAGGCAAGCATGTCCTTTTTCACCTTTGTTATTTGCTTTTTACCTAGAACCTGTGTGTGTAACCATTACAAAAAATTTAAATATACAAGGTTTTTATTAAGACACGTGTTAGGGGAACATATTGGCATATGCTGATGATGTTGCAATATTTTGTACTAATCACGAGAGCATACTCACCTTCAAGAACATTGTATCAAGGTATGTGATGCTACTACTAGCGTTGTAAATATAGACAAGTGTACTCAGCTCTGGCATAGAAATCGGTAAGCGTTCCCAGTGACGTATGAATGAATTAAATGGTCAAACATGAGTGTGCTCAGTGCACTCAATACCTCAAACATCAATACATCAGTGTTCCACTAGAAAAATATCAAAAGAATAATTACCTGCGGGCCAAAAAAAAAACCAAAGAGCTATCTGTTCCGACACAGAAATGAGGAGTCCGTTATATGTCCGTCTTCGCTTGCGCGACAATATGCAACGTCTTCTTGGTATCGCGCCTGGTTACTTGTTGCAAGTACTGTCGTGTTCCATAATGAATATTCAGAGAATTCATATGCTTCTTACCGTTTTCGTGTGGCAGTCCCAGTGCGAATGGACAAGCCGCAACAGCTTTTTTTTAAGCCTAAAAAGAGGTGGTTTGGCCTTGCCGCACTTATTTTTGAGGCAGGTTGTATCAAGGTTTCTATTTACGGGATTAATGAGATCCGTTTATATGGACATTTTTTTTTCAAAGTAGGTTGGCATCTGTTTTGCCAAATTTTCTTTTTACCTCAAATGATGAATTCCGTTATGGTGTGTGTAGCTTTTGTCGGTAAGTTGTTGTGGCTTTTTGATTTCTTCTAATGTCACTCTGTCTATCTAATGTCACTCGTAAGTGTTTGTCGAGAGATTTTATTAAAACTATTCTTCTTGTTCCTTTGTATTTTTCTAAATACAGTGGAAGCCAAGGAGAAATTGTTTTGAAAAGAATTAAAAAAATAATCGTACCAGCTGGCGTTAAAACGTTCGTTTTTAAGCGGCGCACAAATACGCTGCCGGTTAAAACGTGGCTAGAACAAAGAGGCAATTTTTTACCGTGGGCATCCAACTGCTTACTGGGCTGACAACCTGAGTTAGTAGAGCATGTTTTTATCGATTTCCGGGACGCATTTTCGTTTTGGGATGTTTGGCCGAGAACACTTAGGAAAGATTTACATCTCACTTCACGTTGAATTTGATTTTTAGCAATAGAACCTGGCATATTAAAATACGGTATGTTCTTTCTTCTTGGCTTACATAGCATAAAGTGAAGCCGCATGGCAGTCGGACATTGTGATTTAGACGCTCAGCCAGTACGTATTTATTTTATACAAGTTGCGAGAAGTTTTTGCAAAACAGTACTGCAAGAATTAAGTGCTAACTTTTATGGTTTGTGTCATTTGAAATCATTGTAACATAGTGTGGCAAATGGCTCATCTTCCTTGAAGCCATGACGTTGAGCTTTAAGCTTATTTGGAGTGTTTTTGCTGTGGTTTGAATGTTACACGCTGCAAGAAAGAAAAAAATGATTGTGGCACAAAAGTTAGCATGCCCGGCATCTGTTTTCGTGGACCCAGTGGTCATGGGTTCGATTCCTATATGAGGAACTTTTCTTGTCTTCCAATCACTTGTATTTTTCCACGTCATTTCCGTAACGGAAGTCTTAGTGGACCCCGGCATAAACACTTTCGTGTCGAAAATTCGCCAGATCCCACGTATCTCGGCAATCGACGTTATGTGAAGCATGCGAAGGGAAGGTTACCATATTGTAATTTTTATTGAGTGACACGATATGAAATGACGTAAATATATGTACTAATGTTGCGCGCACGACGTATGTTCATCACGTAAAGATGTTTATATAACCAGTTATCAGCACTTGCGCGATGATACCAACAGCAACGTGAACACGTGGAACACCAGAAGCGAGCAGCTGATATGAAGCGCTGGTGCTCGCGAGAATGGTAGCCCTGCACAGTGGTACTTAAATAAACTTCACCGGATGGCACCTAACAACAATTAACGTTAAACCAACGAAGCGACTGTATCATATAAGTACATATCTTATTTTTATAAAGTCGAA